AAACTAGGTATCAATTGGTCATCACCGCTTCCTAGGTCCAGACAACTGGCCTTTTGGTCGTGGCTCATTTGTGACAAACTACACTGATCTAATATCATTGACGTTGACGAGCTGTCTATCATCTCACTTCCAAAACCATCCTGGTACTGCCCCTGCTCGATTTGCGTCACTCCCGTTAGCTTCGTCAGCTCCAGCTCCAGATCGTGTACCTTTGACTGCATCGCGGCCTCCACAAGTGCACTCCTTCCCAGCTGGGCCTGCAGCCGGGCGTTTTCTGTACGCAACACTTCGTCGAGTTCGTCCTGTGYAGATTCTTGGTGCATCAATTTGACTGATATCTTGGCCTCGGCCGACTGCAACCGGGCGATTTCCTCTTGAACTTCGCCAAGCTCGGCTGTCAGCTGATCAACCGTCGTCCGCAGTTCCAGCTCGTTTCGGTCACGCTTCATACGTTCATGTTCCGCCAGCACCGTTAATTCGTCCACGCATCGCCTAAGGCACACCTGTGTTGCCATCGACTTGGTCAGCTGGTCGTTGATATTGTTCAACTCTATTGTCGTCTTTTCGACCTGTTCTTTGTATGCGATAACTTCATCTACCAACGTTCCGGTACACACCTGAAACATAACAATATTTTTGTTTATTGCAAGATATTTATGGATTATTAAATTATCTTAAAAAAATATGTATTTCTGTTTTAAAACATTTTATATTATATTATATGTACTTAATCAAACTAGAACTAAAATCTTATTGTACAATTAATTTACTTCATATTATATATAGTATCCGTAATATTGAAAAATATATATACTTCAWAAATTATTAACAAACCTAGTGTAAACTGTATTGTAATTTAAAACAATATACCCATTGACCATTAAAATAAAGTATCTACATACCTATTGTCTATCATGTCGAAAACAATTTTTTAATTTAATTCAATATAAATTGTCCATAATAATTACCCTTTTTTAATATATAATACAAAACTTCATTTAAATTTGAAATGAACCGAAATTAAGATGGTAAATGTTATAATAGAAAAGGAAGAAATATTTGAGTCTGCCTACTATAAACCTGACGAGAAAACCACTGGTTTATACGGTGTGTGTTATATAAACGAAAATGACTTCAGAATGAAAAATTCTCTTRYYCTGTAGAATAGRAGGATTTYGTTTTTTTTTTTTTTTATTCTAAAGAAGAGACTTTTTCAGGTTGAATCAAATTCTGGATTTGAATTTTACTTTAATTAGTAGTAGTAAAGTACGATTGAAAAATAACAAATATTGTGCATTATTTAAATGCATATTTTAGCCTCTATAATTATAATTTGAAAATCAAGCTACGAAACACCACTAATCAGGAGAGAGTTTTTCCTATAAGACTTGTATTTTCATACTTA